AAGCTTTTGATCCTCAAGACGCTGCTTAAAACGCACGAGGAAGAGAGGGGAAATAGCAGACTCTGTGGGGAGATTGACGGGAGAAAAGAGCTTATCAGATTGAGCCGGGTGAGTGACGTGAGGTGTCGTGCATCGGCTGATCAGAGCTAGGTATCAAAGAACTGGCAGGACCTCTGTTTCGATGGCCAATTATGGCCTCTCATCCAGCTCGAACCGGTATCTCACCTTATCCACCCTAACGCGCTCGAACGCATCATCACCTCTGCCCTACCTTGCATTCGCGAGCTTCATCTACGTGGCATGAACACTTTACTCGGCAATACATTGCTTACCGCACTCTCGACGCAAGATGGCCCGTCTTCCAAGCGTTGGGAACTCGCCTCGCGCTCAATGTGGATGCCTAATCTTCATTCTCTTGACCTACGGCACTGCGATAGTTTGACCTCTACGGAAATCTCATTCATCGTGTCTAATGCCCCCGGTCTACGAGCGATCAATCTGAAGGGTGTCCAAGCGGTCACCTCAGAGGTCATTCGGAGCATCGCTAAATCGTGTAGGACATTGCAATCCCTCGACGTCTCGAGATGCTGGGATATAACCCTCGGAGATATCATCACTCTCATTCGGGCGATGGACGATCATCAAGCCGGTGCGCTGCACACACTACACTTGGCTGGTATCAAATCGGTCGGTCGCTATGCCGGAGATTTCCTTCCTCTCGTCGCAGAACGCCTGATCGGCCTCGAAACCCTCGACCTCCAAGGCTGTACCCATATCTACAGCGGTGACTTCCAGCGTCATAGAGAAGTTCTCGACTCGCTCGGTCGCCAGAGTAGCATCACCCATCTGAACTTGTCTGGCTGCGCCGCTCTCAAGAAGGACGTATTCAAGCATCTGGCAGGGCGGTTCTCCAACCTGACCAAGTTCGAGCTTGCCGATCTTCCTTACCTGTTCGACGGCGCAAATGACGAAGATGCGGGTCTGATAGAGTTCCTCAGGACGACGCCCAAGATTCAAAAGCTGGATCTGGAGAGGACTGGACAGGGCGGCGGGGTGACGGACAGGGTGATGAACCTTTTGGCCTATGGCAGGACGACAGAGGGTAAGAGGGTCGGACAAGAGCTGGTCGAGCTGAGGATATCAGATGCGAAGGATGTCACGCCTGAAGCGATGGTCAGAGTGCTCAAGTGGTGTTCGAATCTGAGGGTGTTCGAAGCCGATGTGAGTTGGCTTGCACCTTGGCGGTCAGATTAAGCCTTTCGGACTGATTGAGAACTGGTTTTTCCAGAACACATTGGCGGACCAGTCTGTCATACACGAAGTCCACGCACGATCTGCACTCTGCTGCGACGTTTTGACGGCGTCATTGCTCGATTGTCCTGCTCTCACTCGACGTGCCCACGATCTATGGCCTTCACGGCACGTGGTACGACATGGCTGGACGGGCTGGGCGGCCGTGCCATTCGAGTACGATCCAAGTGAAGTCGCGAATACGGAAGTAGCCAAAGACATCAAGGCGCGCGTGAATGTGCTACCGAATATGCTTCGCAAAATACCGGTCATCAAGACCGCCTGGACGTGGAGGCATGTCATGAAGACGGCCCGCGATTGGAGGGAAAGTCGCGAGCTGGTCGAAAGGAAACACAACGAGGCGAAGAAGAGACTGTCTGCTGGCAGTGGCAATGGCGGCGGTGATGGCCTTGCCGAAGGTGCCGTCGAGGGTGCAGTTGGGAGTGGGAGTGGTAGAAGGATCAGGTTGGGCCGGAGAAGCGGGAGTGCAGCTAGTGGGCTGGGCATGGGCGCGTATGGGAATCCGAATGGAAGCTGTGCGATAATGTAAGGATGCTGAGTCTGTGACGATGGGTCATCAAGTTTTTTTTTAATCTTCCGTATCGCGCGTTGTACTTCTCACATCTTAGAGGCTATTGTATCGTTACTTGGACTGCTGATTGCTGTCTTACATCATGTACACAAGGGTTCGATATTTTAGTTTGTTTCTTGATCCTGAAGAGTCCGCAGACCGCGCGACCTCCCTTCGTTTGGAGAAGGACCTCTCATCTGAACGACATCCTTCACCGGCGGCACCGGCGTCATTGTGCATGCAGCTGCCAGGTGGCTCAAGAGTGCTTCCTGTCTTGCTACAAACGGGCTGGGAAGACTGTGGTTGAGGCACAGGCTGGGATATGATGCAGGAACGGGCTATGCATCGCCAGGATTTGGTATCAAGTCATTCATGGCATCGACCAACAAGAGGTGTTTCATTATGTCTGTAGGACCAGGTCCAACATCCATACAATCAAATTGATTCCGATCATGCAAACATCCGATGAGATTTTCCATGATGCACTCGTACTGTAATTGATATGCTTGTATTGAATCTGTACTCCAACCTTTCAAGCATATTATGGTGAGAACTCGTTCACGTCGTATTCGGTCGTTGGTTGGACCCCTGATATCCGCTCGGCCAGGATGTAGCCTATACCTGGACCTATGACACGTTTCGGCATGGCATGGGTGAACCAGAAATTGTAGGTCAGCAGTAGTCCAGTAAAACGATGTTGGTTACCGGACGGGAAAGCGGAAAACTGCACGCAGAGACTCGGTGTGTGAGAATCTGAACTCACCTAGTGTAGGGTCGGATCGATGGCTGATGTGCACAGCCAACATGCGCAGAACGTCAGTATTGGTCTCGCACAGACGCTTCGCCGTCCCTCGACGGAACTAGGACAGCGGCAGACGACTCACGATAAACCCAGCCAGATCCCTTGGAACCCTTCAACCGATCCAGCTAACGCAGCTGCCTCGATCCCCTGCTCATCCTTCGCTGCTGCCGATATTGACTTTGGTGATAACGAGGGCACTTGATGCGTGTCATGTGAGATTAATGAAGTACCGCTGGAGGGTCCGAAATGGGGCGATAACCCCTGTATTATCGACACCAGGTCTTCGCGCGCTTCAGCTTGGCCTCCGCTTGCGTCCGCGTGTAGACCTGCTTTGACAGCGTCGGTACGAGTGTCCCCATTGACGAATAGCGCATTACCCGTATTGCGGGCTTGGTCTGTGGATTCTATCGAGCGGCAGCTATGGGTGACCGAAGGGTCGTGAGCAAAAGCTCCGGAATGATCGAGCCCGTGTTGTCTCTTCAGAACAGTCTATCACTCACACATGGACTCGACCGTCATCTCTGACCACGATCTCGATCTCCTTACTCCCCGGCTTCACCTGCACCTTGACCCCGAGTGGGTCGATCCTTTCCCTCGGTTTCAAAACCACGCTCTCCCTCGTCTCCTGGCCGATCCGCTCTGCCAGCCCCATGCTACGCACAGCCTCTTCGCCTAGAAGCGATTGAGCTGTCGACAGCAGCTTGTTGCCTGTTGAGATGAGCACCGAGGACGCTGCGACGTGCACAATCTCCTCGACACCATTGATCCTCTGCACCACATTCACGCCGCTGACTGTCCTTCTTCCTCCTGATGACCCGGTCGTGGGATCAAGCTGATAATCCTCAAAAGTCAGAGAAGTCGCGCGGGCGATCATAAGTGAGCATCTCGGATGACTCAGAAAGATCGAACATAGGTGCCTTGTGAGTAAGGTCGGGTCTATCACCGCACTTGAAGCGATAGATGACGAGGACGAAGACGACGAGGATGATTGTATGGATCTGAGGCTTGGGAAGTGCGCGGATATCCGATCGTGAGCCGGCGTCGATTCAGATTCAAAGGTGCCTCTTGGGGGTCCCGGGGTCGCGCGATCGATTTCAGCTCGCTGGGTCATAGTATTGAAGCAAAGATCAGTCACCCCATCCTCAGCTTCACGTTCAGAGAACGCTCACAAATACATCTACAGGGCTGTAACCCCACTTCAGCACGCCGTCGTAGGTGCGCGCGAGTTTCGAGTGCAGTTTCAAGCTGAACTCGGCGAGGTCTGATGATATGTAGGCGAAAGAGAAGGCAGCAGGAGGACATCGTCAATGATCTTTGCCCGCGTTAATCAGAAGCGGGGAGCGACTCACCTTGCAGCGATTCTTCGTTCCCATCGTGGCCACCTATCAGTCCACCCCCGTATTGCTGCGAATCACCACCGACCTCGCCTTCTTCTACCAGCACTACATTGGTATCTTCGTCCAGACCCGCATTCTGACTGAGATAGTACGCCGTCGAAGTCCCTATCAAGTCCGAACCAATGATCACAATGTTTTTCGTAGTCGAGGGCATGTCGGGCGAAGCTGAGGTCCGTCAATTGAGAGGAGTCTAACAGAACGACGGCAAAGAGCGAGTGGGCAGAACGATATCTAGCGGTCGAGCTCGTCTGAAGTTTACAGAAACATTTGATCAAGGGATCATTTGTGACTTGACTAGCACCGTGATTCAAGTCCATCAGCGAACCTGCACGCGACTGCAACACTAGTAACACTGCCAATTGCAGCGAATGAAACATGACAACTACCACCAATTGATTGCATCATCACCGCGCCAAAAATCAACGCGATCCGATGGTAGCCCGTATCAACCGTGAGTGTGTCTCCGGCCAAGATCGACTTGCTTCATTACCATCACCACGTACCCTGGTCGTTAGTTATCGTAACAGACCAGACAGGAAAGATAGGAGCGATGTAGTAGGTGTAAGAGGTTGATGACGCCAGATTCTCATCGATCGACAATCTTGACGGAATAGCAGCAGATCGCGATTTAGACAATCTCGGATCGGATCGTGCCTTATTCCACCACCCTGAGACCAGATGAGATGAGATATCCCGCCTGCGGGACTTGAGGCGTCGCGTGGTTATCACTATCACTTCGCACATGCGATATCATCTATGGACGATGCAAGTAAGACTCGGAGCGTCCGGGTGATGTTCGCTTGATCCATCATCAGCTATGACCATCAGATCAACAGCCGTTGAGAAAACGACAGGTGCTGTCGAAGCATCATTATAAGGGGCATAGAGAGAGGACTTCGAATAGACGGTGACCGCCCAGTGTACGGGTAAGAAAAAAAGAAGCCCATGGCGGGGTTCGAACCCGCAACCGCCCGATGCAATCTGTGATCGCATTACGTAAATAAAAGTCGGGTGCGCTGCCGATTGCGCCACACGGGCTTGGAAATTCACATGTTTGGGTGTGATATGTAGCCTTGAAGGTGTGGGCTGGGCTTACAAAGACTCACTGAGATGCGGAAGGAGACCTGTAGAGGGACAGGTATCGGTGAGTGGTACAGCTGAGGTCTGGGTGTGGCATGTGCTTGCGCTGTTCAATCAGGCTTGCGCCGGGACTTTTGTCACTGTTCCGACCAATGTTTTCCTCTACCGGTGTCCGACGGATGAGGCCCAGGAAGCCTTTGTGGGAAGATGTGAGACTCCCGCCACGCGGTGCGCCCACAGATGGGCAGAACATGGCATTTGCACTTGAAAACACATGGGCGTCATTAGACGCTCTCGGAGAGAGAATCATCTCCTAGCGAGTGTCTCTACACTATTCTCCCACTACAGTCGTCCACCGAATGAAAAAAGGAGGAGCTTGTGAGTCCCACACGGTGCGACCACAGATCAGGCAATAGATCAGGCGATAGATTTGTACATAAAAGTCATAAGATACTCGCACACTAGTAGAGTCAGTTTCGCCACCGGCTCCCGCACCCTAGCTCATCGTAGAAAATGATGACATCACTACTTGCGAAGCGACCCTCTCTATCACCATGTTCTCATGTTCTGCCTTTTCCATACACGTTATCAACACCTTTCTCCGATGATCCCCCTTCTACTCTGATCTTACAATCTGACACGCCGACAGTCAGTCGCTAACATGGACCAAGTGAGTGTGATTTCACGAGACTGCGTCCCGAGAGGTGAAGCGATGTTGACACTGACGATACGCAGGATGCCTTCCGAAATATGCTGTCCGCCCCGAGAGCGGCGGGAAGCTCAACGTCGTCTGGGTCGCGAGGGGTACTTGGCGCACCAGCTCCAAAGCGAGGGTGGGGTTTGAAAGTCAAAGAAGGGTATGTGATTCGCAGGTAAGGGCATCATCTGCTCTGTCAGCTGACTCTAGCGATGCTTTCCTACACAGTTACGAGAAAAAGAAAGAGGAGAAGCCCGCCAAGCCCGCTTTCGCGCCCCGACAACACCAGAAGAAGGTGGAGAGCCAGTACAAGGATCGGGCTGAGCTGAGAAGAACGGGCGCAGACGATGAGTACCGTTCTGTAAGTGATCTAAACTTCGAGTCATAGGTCCCAACCTTCTCTGTTCGTACGAGTATGCGCTTTCGTTGACCCAAAACGCCGCGTAGGTCGAAAAACTGCTGGAAGACTTCGAAGCTCGAAAAGCGACAGCTACACGACCCGAAGAGCTCGAGGAGCTGGAGAAGCAGAGAGCGTATCTGGGTGGTGATGCTGAGCATTCGGTACTTGTCAAGGGTCTGGATTATGCGCTTCTAGCCGCCAGGAAGGCGGAGCTGGCGAGAGAAGAAGGGGAGGAGATGGACGACGAACTGGAGATGCTTGGACAAGGGCTGGGCAAGAAGGAGCAGAAGGAGGGTAAAAAGGATAAGAAGGAGGAAGGGCTGGGTAAAGGGGTAAGCCAAAGTCTTGTCGAGTCTTGAAAGTGCTGATCGAAAGCTCACACTGGTATTATCTCTCAGTTCAAATCAATAGCTCAGAGAAAAGCGGAAGCAGAGGCCGCGTCAGGCGAGAAGAAGAAGAAGAAGAAAAAGAAAAAGGTCAAACCAGAAGCAGGAGCAGAGACTACTGCCCCGCCTACGATGACAGACCCAGTCTCGACTAAGCCTGACGAGTTGAAGGGTGTTAAAGCGCAAGATCAGCCGCCTGCCAAAATAGACAAGGTTTCGGAACCAAACACAGAAACGAAAAAAGCCGCTCCGCCTCCTGTGGAGGAAGATAACGATGATGATATTTTCGGTGGTGTAGGCGAGTACAATCTCGGTGCTGGAGGAGGGGAGAGCGATTCCGACTCCGATGACGACGCGAAGATGGACGTCGACCCACCTTTGCGTGGGCGGTCGCCTGTCAGAGGGAGATCAAGAACCCGCTCTCCAGTCACGAGAAAAGACGGACTTGGACCCCGCTCGCCTGGGTACAGACACGATCGATCATATTCTCGTTCACTTTCGAGATCGAGGTCGAGGGACAGAGGCGGTTATAGGCGAAGAGATACACGCTACGATTCAAGATCCCGCTCGGGGAACAGAGGATACAGGCGATACTCGAGATCTAGGTCCAGGTCATATGACAGACGTTCACCTAGCCCATACCGATATCGACGGTATCGCTCACGGTCAAGGTCACCTTACCGAGGCTATAGCAGAAGAACTCCGTCACCCTCGAGGGGTGGATACAGGGATAGATCAAGATCGAGATCGCCGAGGAGATATCGCTCACCACGAAGATCAAGATCACCGAGACGCTATTCGCCTCGTCCCCGGTCGTATACACCAAGACGTTCAGTATCCCCTAGATCGCCTTCGCCTGTGCCAGCGCCACGTGTCAGGTCGCCCACTCGTTCACCTACACCATTGCTGCACGATCATCCCATTGCTGATTCCCGCTCGCCGTCGCCGGAATACGATGGACCTCGGGCCACCAAGCTTCAACCCCTTTCCTCGTCTGCTATTCCATCGCTGAAGAACTTCTTGGAGGCGGACAGTGAAGCGTCCAAGGCTGACCAAAAGCGAATGAACAAGGCGAAATGGAGAGCTGCTCAAGGTCTGCCTGCTCAAGAGGGAGGCGCGGAGATGCTTCATGATGGTAAAGGAGGTGGCATGAACGAGAAGCAGAAAGCCAACAGGGACTATCAGCTGCTCATGAATAAGATGAACAAGGATCAAGGAGGTACGAAGATACAGGAAGATGAGTAGACAGTGCAAGTTCTGTTACATAGACCTCGTGATGAGCATTTTACGCTTTTTGTGCTTGTATAAAGAACGATCAAGCGATATGTACAACCATGCATGTAAATGTCTATAATACAGATGCAGAAAGTGCAGTGTTCTGCTGAGAATGTCTTGTCCAACCAGTTACCTCTCATGATCGGTTTGAGGGTCCCCTCTATTCCTTTTCTGCCGAGACATCTTTCATTCTTCCGTCAATAAGCGGACAGACGATAGCAAGATCCTCACTGACATTATCCAGCTTCTGCTTCTCTTGCCCGATGAGGAGATCACCAATTTTCTTGGAGCTTAGGGTATCGGTACCCTTCGCCTGGTCGGTAGATGACCCGCCATCTTTGGGCCAATGCCCTGGCATCTGTCGGCTCTGACGCATCGCTTGCCCTGCCTATACCATAAACACCTGTCAGCTTTCCGCTTCTGTGTTTGTTTATGGTGGACGCCACTGAGTCGTAATCTGAATCGGCAGAGACACTGACCACTTCGTCCACGCTGCTCATATGCTCATGCTTCGCAACATGCATGGCATCCCTGATGCTCGACCAATCGTGCGCAACCACGTGCCTTCTGAGTGTACCCCAGCCAGAGGACGCGCTTCGTTCCGATACTGGCGACAAAACGCCATTGCGTGGCGAGAGATAGCCCTTGGCAGATGTAGGCGAAGATGAAAGTGAAGATGACGGGGAGCGCTGATGTTGCGTTCTAGCCCGCGACAGGACTGCATCTGTCCGCGTGGAAAGATGATGATCGGCGGCTGCTTCGAGCTGCTTGTGACGGAAGATGTACGAGGAGCCTGATTTGCAAAGTCGACCGGTCAGCTTTAAAACCTCCCAAAAATCTTTGGATACTCAGCAAACGCGCTTACCCAAGAGGAAGGACCGGAGGATGCTGCTCATAATCTGCCCATTCTCATCATCGACAATGAAGCGGCGATGCTTCAATGCTTCGAACCCGTCATATCCTTGAGCCATATAATCTCGAGTTATCTGCGCACGGTGGTCAGCACTGGGCTCTAGAGATGGAAAGAATGTAGGACCTGGGCTCACAACTCGATAGATCTTCGATCCATCTCGCTTCACTTCGTCCCCCAAGGCCAACTTTTTTTGCTTCACGACCACTCTGGTTCCGTCTTCCTGCTCTGAAAAATCGACAAAGTCTTGGGGATTCTCGATCTCGTCGTCGTCCTTCTCTTCCTGTTGAAGCTGATGTATGGATAGGATACGAGATCCAGGCTGTCTGGAGTGGTCCCAGCGGACGACAAGGCCAGAAACGATGGGGAACCGGCCTTCTTGGGCTGGCCACTTGCTCAGAGCGGACTCGAGTGTATCCCAAATGCCTTTACCGTCGATCTGCAACGGAGAAAATCGTGAGCTTGCTTGGTCTGAGTGCACTATTACGCCTGCTGCTCACCTCTAGACAGACAACAGGGTCCTCAAATGGCAAGATCTCTGGTCGATGGGAAGTCGCTCCATCAGTATCCGTCCAGAACGTATCAGACCTTGTGCGAGCACTCACCCAGGATATCGCCCAACGTGATCTTTCCTGGCCCATACTGTGAGTCTCCTCTCAGGGTTCCACCGCAAAGAATTACGGCGTCCGCTCCTCCTTCGTGATCTTTGGGTTTGTCTGCAGCTTCGCCATTCTTGCCCTTTCCTTCCAGCATGCTTTCAGCGTATGCGTGCATCAGAACATCGGCGATCCAGTTCCCGACACCGTTCTCCTGAGTTCGCACAATCTCTGATCTCGCATCGAAGGGCGACAGGGTGAAGCAGACTGGCTTGGAAAGCGCCTCAGATACAGACGACAAGAGCGATTTGACCATCTCGTCGAATCCCTCGTCGGAAGGGGAAGAGGGCAGGACGTAGTGATGTTTTCCGGTTAGTCGGGTTATGAGGTGTTTCCGGACTGATCCAGGTGGTTGAGGTGTAAGTTCGAGCTGCGCCGAAGAGAGATCTCTAAAGTCCGTGCCAGACTTGATGAGGCTAAATGGCAACGGTGTCAGACCTGGTGTATGAGCAGGTCTGCAACGACTCACTATACCCCTTCATCCTCGGTTGTTCCCGGTACACCGTGCCGACCAGAATATCCGTCCCACGCAGCATTGCCCGTCCCAATCTGACAAGACAGAGGCCACAATCCGCGTCAGCTGTGCGGGACAAAAAGCTATGTACCAGCTGACTCACGTAGTAGACATGATCAT